AAGAATTTTAATTTAAAGGGTCTGGATGTCATTTTTTGTTGTTTTGTTTTTTTGTTTTTGTACAACTTAAGAAAAAGTTTACTTATTTGCACAGAATAAGTAGTTGTTAGAATAAAGGTAAACTTCTAAAATTTAAGACTGGTGGGTTTAAAGTTTTTAGCCTCTTATGTACGTGATGACAAAATAATAAAATTGTATAACCACGCCCCCTAGTGGTTTAATCATATTACTACATTTAAAATCACTGCCTATCTGCGCTGCTTTTGATGGTAAAACTTTAAGAAAAGCCTTTATTTATAAAAAAGACACTTATTTTATGTCATAGGTTGTAAGATTTTCGAAGAGTACGTGAATGCACCATGCATTTTTGAATTTTAATTTTGAAGGTTAAAATTTATGCAAACCTTTTGCTTTAAAAAAAAAAAAGAAAAACTAAATAATTTATCAGGTGTTAGCAATCTTGTGGAAGATTTAAAAAGTGAATAAAATAAAAAATCAAACTGTTAAAGTGTTTAGTTATATTTTTGCACCGTCGCGCGTTCCCGTTTCGTGGAGGCGCGTTCACGTGTCGCCCATCAGACCGTCTCATCTCTGAGGCTCTCAGCGCTGTTTGCTGTATTTTCCACCTTCACACATCTTAACTGCGCAGCATCTGGAAGGTAAAGTTGTTTTTGCTCTTCTACACTAACAGATTAAAACTGCAGCAATTTCTTTAAAATCTGTTTGTTTTGTTTTTTTGTTTCCGCCCTAATTAAGGAAGTAACTCTATAGTAAGCCATTATACTGTTAATCCTTAACAATCAATAAATTAGAGCTTAAATGTTGCCTATATGTTATAAAAAAGCTGCAAAGTTTCCATGGAATATGTGAAAGTAGAGATAAATCATTAAAAAATCTGATAAACTTTTAATTTATTCCCATAAATATTTGCCTGTTGGTTATTATTTGAGGGATTTGCATGATTTAAATCTAATTTATATTAGCACAGTGCTGTTTGTTTTATAATTTTTTGAAAAATAAGCATGCACAGTAGAAGTGAAGCGAAGTTTCATGCTCAGTTTAACTTCCTTTTGGGGAATTTGTGGTTCCACTTTGGTCTATTTCTGCCTTCCAGCAACTTGTGACAAATGGCACACAAGCTGAGAAACAGCAGCTTTCATCTGCAACCTGAGTGTTGATCTCATCCTAACCAAGTTGTCCGGATTGCTTTGTTTTACCTCCAAAGATGTGGAAGTCAGTGGTGGGCCACAATGTGAATGTGAAGGTGGCTGCAGAGGGGGACGACTGGGAGACAGACCCTGACTTTGAGGTGCTCTAAACTTCCTGGACTGTGCATCAGCATTCTTCATGCCTATGATGGGGTGTTTCCTCGGTTAACTGTTTTACATTTCTTTCAGAATGATGTTTCGGAGCAGGAGCAGAGGTGGGGGGCCAAAACCATCGAGGGCTCTGGGCGCAAAGAGCACATCAGGTAAAAATAAAGATTTATATTTCATCTACATGATTGTGTGAAAGAGAGTAAATTTATTTTAGTGGATGTTGTGTTGAAACAGGAAGAGGAAGTAAGAGCTGAACGCATGTCGTCAGACAGCGAGTCGCTCCTAATATGGGTAATACAGTCGGAGACATTTAACTTGGGTCTGAAATAACATTTGTTCTCCTAAATAATGTTTTTACAAAGAAGCGATAAAAAATATGAGAAGCAGCCAGTTCCACTGTAACTCAGGAGGAGCTGCAGAGATCCACAGCTCAGCTGGAAGAATATATCCATTCGTTTAGTCCATGCATAAGTCCAGGCATTTGAGGAAAAGTGGAAAGAAGGAATGTTTGGGAGTCCTGCTTTTGATTTCCAACAAACCAGGAAACGACAAACATGTTGAAGAAGATGCTTTGGTCAGATCACTTAGAAAGCATGGTGGTGGCAGCAGCATGCTTTGGGAATGCAAGGATCAAGGCAAGGCAACTTTATTTGTATAGCACAAACAATTCAATAGATGGACAATTCAAAGTGCTTTACATGAATGGGATAATAAAATAGAAGAAAAAAAAGAAGAAAAATAATTTAAAATAAAACGATAAAAGCAGGTAGTTTGATCACAACCTTTAAACTAATAATATCTCTGTTAACAGTTTAACTTCATCAGTCAAAGGCAGCTCTAAACTAACTTAACTCTGACTTCAATGAACTCAGGCTTTCATTTTTTCCAATCTTCTGGGAGTTTGATCCAGATCAGTGGCGCACTGACACGGGCGATTCTAGACAGGGGCCAACGGGGGCCAGTGCCCCTGTAGATCATGTCCTAGTGAAGACATAATACTTAAAAGAAATTAAAATGATGATCTGCGCTGGAAAATACATTATTACTGATAGCTCCTTTTGATTCATTTTTTTTTTCTTAAAAAATTCAGTTTTAATAATTATTAAAAAAAACAATAAGGTGATATCTTCAGTGGTTTTGATCTGCTAAATGTTTTTCAAAACTAATTAAAAAAAAATACTCTAACTTTTACAGCTGAATTTATCAGATTTATTTGAGTTCTAATGCAGATTTTATAGAAAACTGCAATTTTAACTTAAATTAAGTTCAAAATATGTTCAATTCATAAATTATGAATATATACTGACCTAATATTCCAAATAATAGCTTTATTTATCTTTTAGATATTTATATAGCTTCAATTTTTTGGTATATGCTAAGTGATTTTATTTTTTATTTGAACAATAATCCAAATGAACATTTTCAAGCCAAAAATAAATATTTTCAGTTAGTAGACATAATAATTAAACCTAATTGAATAGAAATTTCACCTCATGCAGCTCTTTTAATATATTTCAATCCCTTGCACTGTTTTTTCTTTCATACTTTTGTGTGCCCCCATAAAAACATTCTGGCCCCCTCCCGGTCCCCCGGTACATTTGGTCTAGAACCGCCACTGAGTATAGATGCTGCTTCTCTATGTTTGGTTCTAGTTCTGGGTGGACAGAGGAGACTGGAACTAGAAGACCTGAGTGGTCTGGGAGGTAGATCCACTGACAACAGATCTGTTATGGATTGAGGCGCTGATCTATTCAGTGATTTCTAGACTAACAGAAGGAATTTAAAGTCTATTCTCTGAGCTACAGGGAGTCAGTGGAAAGACTTCAGAACCGAGCTGATGTGCTCTTTTTTCTAAGTTCTAGTGAGATCACGGGCAGCAGCGTTTTGGATCAGCTGCAGCCGTCTGATGGACTTTTTAGGCAAACCTGTGAAGACACTGTTACAGTGATCGATTCTATTAAAGATAAATGCATGAAGTTTGAAAATTGGTCAGAGTTGATGAGAAGGCGAAGTGAGAAACAAAATAGAGGCCTAGTCAAAGCCCAGACAGAAATCCAAAGATGAGAATCCACGTTTAGAGTAGGGATGCAACTAACGATTATTTCTCAAATTGATTAATCTGTCGAGTATTTTTTTTTTGTGATTAATTGATTAATAATCGAATAGCACCACATTCCTTAAAGAAAGGAATTTTACGAAAGTAAAATGGTTCAAATGCAAAATTTTTACATGTTTTTTTTTGTTTTAGCGGCACTAGTGGCTCGTTTTTTCGACAGTAGGCTGAGAGGAAAGGGGTATGATAGAGGGGGAGAGACATGCAGAAAAGGACCACAGGCCGGATTCGAACCCGGGTCGGCTGTGTCCAAGGCTAAGGCCTCTGTATATGGGTCTTACGCTTTAACCACTGCGCTACCTGCAACCCATTTTCTCTACAATTTTGATATAATTCGTTTTCTAAGTGTGTCGCTCTGTCAGCTAAAGGCATCAGTACTAAATTACTTGACGATTATTTCAATAATCGATTAATCCGATTAATTGTTTCAGTCCTAGTTTACAGACAGGCTTTCAATCTGTTTGAGCTTCTGCAATGTGAAGAACTATAAAAGCTGTAAAGCTGAAATCAACTAGAAGAGCATGCAGCTGCAAAATGTGGTTCTGCAGAGTTTTGACTCAGGTTTCCTTATTTGTACCGACTGATAAAATCCCTAAATAAGGCCTTAAACTTTACAGATGTTATTTAGGTGTGAATACTTTTGCAAGAAGCTGCATCTGAAAGATGTTTCCTTTTCCTTATCTTCAATCAACGCAGCGTTGCGGAGCTCAGAAGCAAGGTGGCCCAGGAGCATGAGCAGGTGAAGCAGAAGGATCAGACTCCTAAAGCGTCGTACGGATACGGAGGGAAGTTTGGGGTGGAGAAGGACCGGATGGACAAGGTGAGGGAGTTTGATTTACCTTCTATACTCCGTCTACCTGCTGCCGTCTGACGCAGGTCTTCTGTCCAGGCGGCCATGGGCCACGACTACGTGGCACAAGTGGAGCAGCACTCCTCCCAGAAGGACATGGCGAAGGGATTCGGCGGGAAATTCGGTGTTCAGAAAGACAGAGTTGATAAGGTCAGGAAATAATATTTATTATTTCTACAAATGTTACCAAGACACTAACAAAATGCTTCCAGTTGAGCTTAATTGAAATCTTTATCTGTGCAGTCCGCCATGGGCTTCGAATACAAGGGAGAGGTGCAGCAACACACCTCTCAGAAAGGTTGGTCCACGTCGTCCTAATAGATACACCCTGGTTTCAGATCTCTGTGCGCAACATTTAAACTTTTAACTCTTTATTTTAGATTACTCAAAGGGGTTTGGAGGAAAGTACGGTGTTGAGAAGGAAAGGGTGGACAAGGCGGCTTTGGGATACGACTATAAAGCCGAGACGGAGAAACATCAGTCCCAAAAAGGTGGGTTTCACATGAACAGCTCTGTGGCACATGTGAATGATCAATGATTGAATGATC